GTTTTTTTCTTTTTTCTTTTCTGTGTACCAAGTCTATTCTTTCCATTCTAATACAAAGTATTTTCACCCACAAGGTAACAATAACAGGCCAGCCAAATAGTTTCTGGACCCTACCCAAATCCTAAAAAATAGATGAACGCCAACTAGAATTTTCACTCAGCGGGTATTAGCTTAAGACTCATCCTGTCTCACAGTAAGCAACAACAACGCAAGAACAATGAACAGCCACAGGGACCAGACAGCGCAACACCCACACAACACAGTGTTCGTTCGTTCGCTGTTCGCCGGTCCGTCCGTCTGTCCGTCAAGGGCGGAACGATTTGCATCCGTCGCCATGACACAACACGGCAGGCGAAAGGCAGCAGTGCAGAAGGGCAGCAGCCGAGAATAAGACGCAATCAATCTCACAACGGGTGAGGGGATGGAGATGCTGATTCAAATACCAAGGTGCTGCATTTAGGTAGGGAGATTGCGACAAAGCAGGAGCAACAATGCCCCCAAAAATAACAGCCCAAAAAGGTGGTGCCTTCAGCTTGAGAGAGAGCGGGGAGAAGCTAACAGAAAAAGCTGCGCATTGCGCCAGGGCCAGGAGAGCATCATAACGATGATGCGGCAGCTGCGCACCCTGAAGGGAGGATCCATCCTCATCACCACCTTCATGTAAGTAAGTCCACTTCCTATCGTAAGCTGCTGCCGAGCATTATCTGTTGCCTTTCCCCAGCGAGGTGCGGGTGCGGGACGGGATCAGAAGGCGGAGTTGGTTGCGCGTCCAGCACAGCAGGCGCACTCGGGAAAAAGCAGCACAGGGAGTGGCAGAACAGCACAATCATAATAATCCACCCTCTATCCTAGAATCCTGGCTACCCATTACTGCAGCATACGCCCTTCCATCAATTCCCACACTCCTTTCCCTCTTCCCATGCGTAATCCTGCATCCCGCGTCGCGACAATGCGCTCCATTTTCGGCAGGATTGGCTCATAAATCCGAAACGTTTTGTCTCTCCCGCCCAGGCTGTCATATTTAATTGTGACTAAAATAAGGGCGAAATGATCCTAAGGGATGAGTGGGAGTCGACTTGCGCTGGTCCAAAACCTCTGACGTGTGTCTCATCAGTGCAGCTTCGGAGAGTGCCCCACCTCCTCCGCTGGCTCCGAGTCCCCCTCACCTACATAGTCTTCCCACTCTCCACTCCAGTCCTTCGCCCCCGCCTAGATTGTCAGCTGGTTATTCTTAGCCTACCTCTCAGCGCGGCCAGGATTCAACCACGTTTCCTCCTATCCAGTTGTAGACGCAAGCCAGCCGGGGCTCATTACGATCAATTATGGGGGATTGTTTGCAAGTGCGTTGAGGTAGACGCTTGGATTAAGAGGGATGCGCTGCAGCCGCGACGAATGTGGTTTCGAAGGATGGACAGTCTGGATCGCGAAACAACCTACTCTCCCGATGCTGCCGCTGATGCTGCTTCTGTTGCTGTTACTCCCTCCTTCCAAATCTCTTCATTATGGACGGGACCTTCACACACGACACGGCATGCAAAGAAACAACATCCCATTTATAGATATCTCATCTGCCATATGATTAGTATGAGCTTGAGAAAAGCGTTTCGGTGGGATCTGGCCCTATGGATCGACGCGTTGGGCTTTGTTTGGTTTCGATCGTTTGCTTTTCTTTTCTTTAAAATATACGAGCTCAAGAGTGTTCCGATCATCGGGAGTAATGAATCTGGCAGGGTTTCATAATTCCAACCATTAAATACAACTTGACAAATGCCGGTATTACTAGAATCAAACAAACAGTGCATAGAAAGCCAACCGAAAAGGAATTTAGTTCTTGTAGGTCCTTTGCAAACAGTCTTGAAATGTTGATTAGCATGCTTTCTCGTCCAGTAAGAATAAGGACCACGTTATCAATATGGAAACTACTTTTTAAACAGCATTACCTCAAAGGTATCTGATTTCTTCAAGAAACTACTGAATGTCACTGAATGTTGCCTTGCCTGTGTTTTACTTCCTACATGTAATTTTGTAATTTTGTATGTTTTTAAATATAATATTTTCCAGAGAGTATGAATGTGATGCTTATCCTCTAATATTCTGATACTGTTGTTATAATTCTAGTATTTAAGTTCAAGCACCATATACTATGTGTTGAACAGCACCCCCAATAACTGCTTGGAGTCGAGGACCAAATTCCACCACGTATTGACAGATGATTATTACTGTGCATGCAATATCAACTCAAGTGGTTATCATTGCATACAACTTGTTCAATGTAATTTGATGAAAATAGTATTTTATTATCTTCTCTCTCCCCCTCTCTCTCTATATGTGCATGTGCGTGTACTTAAAATTGCGGATTTATTTTCCTTATTATTTTTCTAGTTGGATGTGAAACTGTAATAAAGATTATGCCGTGTAATGGGTTGGTTTGATTACTATCTATGATGCAAATTGATTATTACTATCATTATTATTCTACATATACATGCTGATTTTCTATGAATTTAATTTTTCAAAAATTTATTGTAAATACTGGCTAAATAGTAATTGGAAATAATGTCTGAGTTGTTATAAACAAAAGCAGATTGGTATTAAATTGATCAACGAAAAACAGAAAAAATAAGATTCCAAACAAGAAATTTACCAATGTTATAGAATAACAAACATGATCAAACTAAGGAATTGGAAGCTTAGAAACAATGAGTATCTTGATAAGTAATTGGCTGGCCCATACATGTAGATATTTACATATATACAATGATGTGCCACATTTATTTGATAAAGTTTTAGAATATTCAGTTGCAACAAACACATAAATTTGTGTACATGCAAGAAATGAATAAAGTTTTTCATATGCATCTTTATTTTTCAGAGTAATTTACACGTATACATCTAAGAATTTAAGTATGCCTACAAATATGTATACATACATACATAGATACATACATCCAATCATTTTCTTTGTGTAAAAAGAATGACAGAGTTGTTATTTTGTTATTTCATTCATTTTCAATAAGATTTGGAGACCCCAAATCTGTTAACTTTTGAGAAAATAATAATATTTTTTATCCTTCTCCTCAAGTGTCTTCGCTTTATGTACTCTTAATCATGTCGATTGATTTTTATAACACTTTTTGAAATATTTGCGTTCAACAGAAAATAGCAATCAAAAATTGGGTAAGCACAAATTGCATAAAGTAGTGCAATTGGATGCTGTAAAAGACCCGAAATACAACTTCTTTGTATGCTTAAATATATAAATATACACATACGCACACACATGTGTATGCATTAAGGAAATATTTGATCTGAGTTTGATACAAACAACCTATATTTGTTTTTTGTTTTGTTTTGTTTTTTTTTTTTTTTTTTATCAATTTAAATGTTTGTGAAGTTGTTTTTGGTGTTGAAGAATGTTAGTAGAAAACGAGTTAAAGAAATGTACTATGTATTTACATCCAACAAATCCACGATTCTATCTCTGAATGATGAACATCATATTTAAAAACAGAATAGAAATGCTTGATATAAACACAATTTTTTGCAATTGATGTATTTTTTGGATCAAATATAATTTTCAAGTCACATGAATTCAAAATGAATATATTTTTCTTGGCATCTGAGGAATTGATTATAAATACACAACTCAAAATCTTTCATCTTCAAATATGGGTTCTCTAATTTTTTACTATTATCATAAAATACAGCATGTCAGAATGGTTAATGAGACCTAACTTTCCCTCGAACAAGAAATATTAACACAGTATCACATGAGGTCAAAATGTTGCATAGGATAGACATATTTGTGGTGCCTGTTTCACATCAAGACAACAGCATATTCTTTTAAACAGTGCCACAGTGCAGTTCACCACGCAGCATGATTCACAACCAAAGCAGGAACAAACTAAACAAAACAGTGAATGACAAAACTAAATTTATCTCTGCAAACGAAGGCTCCAAAGACCCAACGTGAAAACTAAACTTGTAGGGCCCCTGAATTAACTCTGCTTGCATGTGTAATCGCGCTACAAAAGAGTGTCATCACCGAGTCCCACCGACTGGACGTCAAACAAAAAAAAGTTAAATTATATTTTATTTTTTACAGCCTCAAAGGAGTTGGTGTGTTCAGATTGAGAGGACAAAAAACAACTGTTGCAGCAGGAGTAGATGTAACGCGTGGCTATACGGTGCAGCTAGAAGCAGCACAGGAGCATGGATGAGCACAAGTCAGAAAACCTGTGAAAAAACCAGGACCCCACCATGAATGAATGATGTGTGGTGATGTGTTCTACGTATGGGCTAAGTTTCGGCAGCTTGCGGGGAGCTGAGATGCTTTTCTCAGGATGGGACGAGGGGGAGCGAATCGCGACTGTTGAGTGAGGATTTGGTTTAATTGTGAGGGTGACATCTGCAGAGTCCAATCATAGATCCAGACGCAGTTTTAAGCCAGCGTGGGTGTGGAATGGGAAGGAGGACTGAGCCCGTGGTTTGACGTACCCAAACCCAGCATGATGTGAATAGTTGCTGAGGTCTGAGCTCAGGGAATGAAGCGTGTTGTAAGCAGAGTTCTAGAAGTCGATGCCATAGCATCAAAGATGTTACTGCAGCCCTCGTACTTTCTGTATGTACTAAAATTCCTGCCCTTTTTATCTGTGCTGCGCTAGACACGCGCTCCCACACTTATGCTGCTGCAGTCACGCAATAAGTTGACTTTTGACCGCGGTGAAGGAGAATAGAGCCTGCATTAGCTTCGTTAGGGGGTCCTCGGGTCCTACGACTTTGCCATTGCGAGGCATTTCTAATTAGGAGTGTAGATTTGTGAAAAAATAGATGTGATCTAAAGAAAGCACTGGGCTTGATTATGGAGAGTGGGGGCAAGCAACATGAAGCTATGGTTTTAGTGCACGATGTGGCTGAACAACTATTTTCACCTTGCGTTGTGTAGCCTTAGGGCCCACGTCGCTGTGCTACAAGACAAGATCCTCTATTTTCGGACGCCACTTCAGGATGGGATGGGTCCGGTGCGTCCACCCCATTAGAAAAGGTCGCAGCCTTGCAAGCTGAGGTCAGTCTGCCGGAGAGGTACTGCAGAAGTTGAAGTGTTAGGAGAGCGAGAGCGAGAGAGGCATTCTAGGAGGTGATTGATACAACTCGGTGATTGTAGCAATACATCTGGCGCTATAGGAAGTTGGGATCTTCGAGAGTAGTCCTGCGTTGGTTTAATCGGGTTGCGTTTGTTGCGTAGGTATCTGCTACGATTCGGTTATGAACAGGTGGCGGAGCGGAAGCAGTGTCTGCGAAGGAGCTCAGGAAGGCGAGTAATTACGAAGATAACAAGATCTTGTTGTGCGAGGATCATATAGAGAGGTCGCACATCTCAACAGATGAATCACTAGGCACTATTGGGCGAGGTCGTGGATGAGAGTAAGGGGCTAGTTTTGTTAAGCCAGAATGGCGGATTCGGGCTTAGGGTCAGGGGAGGGAGACTCTCCAGTGCAGAGTAAGGGAAATGGAGGGGCCATACGCGAGAAGCCAGTGAAGGTGCTGCCATGTCCTCGTTGCCAATCTATGAACACGAAGTTCTGTTACTACAACAATTACAATGTTAATCAACCTCGGCATTTCTGCCGAAACTGTCAGCGATACTGGACCGTGGGCGGGACACTCCGGAATGTGCCAGTCGGAGGGGGATCTCGCAAGAAGTTGCGCATGGCTCGTAGCCGCACCGACCCATACCTTCGTGCCGGGGAGGCCCCCCAAACTGGCCCTCTGAGTTCTATGTCAGGTGCAGATGGTTTACTAGGCGCAAGCACTTGTGTGCAGCAGCTCCCAATGCTTCCGTCGACACCAGGATTGGTGTGTTTTGGTACCCAATTGTCCGGATTCGCCCCCGCTGGATCCCAGTTGCCTTTTGTGCAAACCGCGCTGGAGCAAAGTCAGAGTATGTATACTCGAGTGCAACAAAAGCCTCTAGCTGGGCTCCAGGAAGTTCCTGATCTCCAGTCTGTCTACGATGTACCTCAAGTTCCTCAGTTTCCGCAGGTTGGCTCAGAGTTGTTGAACATGTCTTCGTTGATGATGGATGATGGGTTCTTCAAGATGCCGGGTGATTTGCACTTGCCATCTGACTCCGAAGCTCTGGCCTCGGTGATCACCAAGGCGGATCTGTGGTCTAATCCCATGCAACAACTATCATCACTCAACGGCAGTACTTGGGAAGATTCAAGACCATCGAAGTCTTCCTTCACCTCACAGCTGCAGAATCTGAGTGGATACGAGGATAGGAGGAACCCAATGAACCAGGTCAACGTCAACATGTTTTTGCCGAACACGAAGCCTCAGTTCTGGGGATCGGCTATTATGAACCAAAAATCCTTGATGGACGACAGGCTTGTGCCGCACACATCATGGGACGAGAATCAGTCGACACAAACGAGTCTGTCTCCAACTGAGAGCAGTTCTCTCGAAGAGGAGCGTAGCTTGCCGAATTACTTTTCTTCTCAGTATGAGGATGTTCCTCAATCCTGGGCCGGTTTGCTTGCCTCCGACATCCTTTTCTAAATTTGATTTTCTAAGCCAACACTTTTGCCTATTCTCAATCCTTCAAGGCCATCCTTCAGCGCCCTGTAAAGTATATCCTGTGAATTACCCCTAGTTTGAGTGCGATTCTATGCTGGAGGTTGGCTACTAGGCCTGAACTGGGTTTACTAGTGAGTTTGACCATCTTAGACTTGAGCAATAGGATCTGCAGAGTGTACAGTAGATTAGGACCTCTCTAGGCCTGCCGTGCCTTTGTCTCTTGATATTGAAGTTTTTTCTTTTCTTTTCTTTTCTTTGTTCCTATTTAATGAATGCGGGAGCTAGTTCTCCCTGTTTCCAACACATGAATACTTCTATGTTTGCTTTGATCTGCTTCGCCTCTTTTCAAATGTCAAATTTGCTTGTGTAGCTGTTGATGCCACTATGTGTTAGCTGGATATCAGCATTTCTTGAATTTTCCTATTCCTGACTGGTATCAAAGGTGCCCTGTGTTGCCATGAGTAACCAGGGTCTGGAATGAACGTGGAATGCTTCGCCATAGCTGCAGCGCCTTGTTGGTGTTTTATTTCCCATTTTCAGCAATTTCCAAACTTGTTTGCGTTCAGCTCGTACCTTGCCTGGATTTTGCCAATCCCCAGTGACGGCCTCATAACACCCAATTTCTTCCAGCGATTTAGTATGCCCTATTCTTGTAAAGAGAACTGAATATAAAGAATCGCATTGAGGCTTCCGATTCTTTCTATACATGCCCTCACAGGTAAAGGGGTAATTCTCACTGACGTCCAAAGGATAAAAGTTATTTCATTTTCTTTTTCTACATTTAAAAAATTTAAACACGTAGCAGTTATGCTAAATTTATCGAAAGCAACAGGTCTGTCTTTTTGTTCCACAGCGACATCGTGATGTTTGCAACCATGGTAGTGGAGAATTGAGATCAGGAGCATCTATCATTTACTGAGACAAACTGGATACGTAGTCGAGATCAAGGTTAGTCAACATGAGATTCGACTTTCCCAGATCCGTTGATTGGATTATTTGTCGGTTGGTAAATGGTTGCAGTTATTGACATCATAGTACAATCCACTCGGAACTTCTACCGAAGTCTTACTTACTGTGCAGTTTGTTTAGATTTGATGTCCAGAATTCTTGATACTCTTCGATCTTATTTTAAAAAAATTTGGGTCCTGATTCCGAACGATTGCCATGAATCCGATCAGGAATGTCCAACTTGTCAAACTGCTGTGGTAAGAAATAAGTGCACAGTATCACACATACGCGTGATTTAACTATCTGATTAACTCGCCTCTTAAGACTGATTCTGCACACGAATTTTTTTTATTGCACGTGCTGATGTTTGAAGGGATGAATAGGATTATACGATTCCAACAAACTTGTACCAGTCAGTGTGGGCCAGCAAGACGATGACTTCAAAAAGGAATATTTAGGGAAGTGACATCTACCTGAACATTTCTTGAATGCATAGATGGACAAACCAGTGTCCATTCCAACAAATTTTTGTATTGTGATCAATATCACAAGCTCTGACCAGAATATGTCACAACATGAAGTATCAGTGGGATCAGGGCCTTTGAAGTAGGAGATACTCTTCCAGAATGCTATCACCATTATCATGTTGAAGAGGAAAGAACCGCTGTTCCCGCATTGCGTGAGGTGATGACTGAATCTAGGTGCGACTAAGTGTGACTAAGGGAAGAGACCATAACCTCCAAATGAGTTAATTGATTGCAAGATCGAGTACATTTTGATTAGTCCTCTGAATACGAAACACCACCACAGTATACTGTCAGTCAGAGTTCGAACTCGAAGGATATGTCAACGAATTTCAACAGAGGACCGTCAATTGAAATAGTGCAGAACGAACCAACTATCAAGGCCAGGGTCGAGAGAAGCAGAGAAAAAGTGGTAACTTGCCTACAGGACCAAAACTTGCACAACCTCACGCCAATCCACCACCCGTTACAGAAATCCCATTCCACACGATCTGTATAATCAACAGATCATGTTCATCACACCTCAGTAGCCTCGCACACACCGATTAAGTCGCGAATTCTGGCCAGCACGTGTGGAGACCGGCGTCCCCAGTTGTCAGATTTGTTGTTACTTCTGCGACAATTTTCTTCTTTATTTCTTTCTCTCTTTCTTTCTCTCTCTCTCTCTCTCTCTCTCTCTTTTTTTTTTTTTTTTCCAACTTTAATTGCAGATTTTAAGTACCCGAGTTGTGTGCCATGATGAAAGATTCTTCCCTCATTATCCCAGCACAGATATTGCAGGAGCATTATCCAGTAATGAAGGCAGTGATAAATGTTGAAGTGAAACTCATCGCAAGACCATAACAAGCGTTAGTGAGTCTGATAAGAAAATGGCACACAGGTCGTGGACTGGGTGAAGACAGACAGAGAGAGAAAGAGAGAGTCAAGCCCAATGGACATCCTCGTCAACTTTGGCTTCAAACCAGAGATCTCACAGCTGAAAAAACAACAACATGGGCAAATCAGTGGGACCCCACGTTTGGATGCGAGGCATCGTCGTCGTCGCCACCTGCCATGTTTGTTTGTTTGGCACGCCCATGAAGCAGATATCAAATCAGTGAAGAAGGTGGCCACCACCCTTCACCGCCATGTCTTCACAGCCCTACTTCGTCGATGTCCATTGCAGCAGCAGCAGCTACAGTCCACTGAACATACTGAGTTTCGGTGCTTTCTGTGCTTTCAGGAGATAAGCAAAGTTACCACATTCAATATGTATGTTTATACGTATACGTATATAAATAAATTATCATATTAATTTATAAATACACACTTTATTTACATGTGTTTTTGAACGTTTTTCTTCACTTGGAACATATTTAGGTGTACCTCTTCTACATTAATTCAGAAAACATGAGTCAAATTGTGATTTTAGAAATGTGCAAGATAAGTGTAGTTTTATTTTTATCATTGTATTTATTATTGTAGTGTCTGATTGAAGGTTTCTAGGTCAAACTTATACAAATTTAAGAAGGTCCATATTTTAATTTTGTAAATATTTTTAGTTTATTCTAGTGGTTTTTGTTATACTTTCTCATTTTTAATTAGCTTAATTAAATATCTTATTATATTTTGACAAATACCAATCTCTTGTGATTTAATACTATTTTGTTATGTTGATTTTCTATAAGTAAGATGACAATAAAACAATGATGGGCCACATAACCCTCATATTAATGATGTTAGAAATAATACTTTCAAAAATAACTTACAAATTATTTTAAGTTGGTTAAGAAGTATATTTGAGTCTTTAGCAACAAAAATGGTAAAAGAGACTTCTATTTAAATTTATAAAAAAATATTTTTAAAATTTTAAATATATAAATTTCTTATTTATTTACTAATACAATATCTAATTTAACAATGTCATGTAGTAATGGTAATTTCTTTGTTTTAATTACATGAACATTATTTTTTTGATATAACTTTAGTTTTACAAATTTTATTTATTCAAAAAATCTAAAACATACAATATGATAATCTAAATTATTTTTTTATACTTTGATGGTTTGGATTTAAGAGAATGTAAAATTGATCCTATTTGTAGTTAAATCAGTCTATCTATCAAAACTATTAATGTATCCTATGTCTCCCATTGTTGTGTTGTAATACAACTATTAGGTAAAATAAATATATATATATATATATATATAATAAAAGAGCTTAATTAAAAATATTGTAGAAAATTATCTTAGAAATATAGGTAATAGTAAAGGAGGTAGAAAAATTATTAAGTGCTAATATTACCTCTTTTTAAAATAGAATTTTAGTTACTTTATATAGCCATAAATAAGGTAAAATAAATTAGATTAACACACATATATATATATATATATATACATTAAGAGTGTTTTGTAGGAAAAATTACCTTAAAAATATTCAAAGATGACTAATTGTGAACTAGAATTGAAATCAGACCTCAAGGCACAAAATCATACATCTATGGTAATTTTGGGATTATTTTATTAATTAAAGAGTATGATTTGAAAGAAAACTAGAGCAGGTTTTTTTGGACAATAAATTTGAGTGATTTGACTTTGTAATGATTTTGTGAAGGCTTTATAAAGTCAAAGTTATTTTGAAATGACATTGGTTTTTTGAGAGAAATAAAAGGTTTTTACTTTAGAAATTTCTATGAGATTAGTATTTGATATGCAAGTAAAATTTTGTAATTATGTCATCATAGTTGCAATTATTATATATTGTAAGTTTGAGCTTGATTGAATGGTTCATCAAAAAGTTACCAAAATTTAAGTTTATTGGAATCTCACAAATTGGAGTGTCAAGGACCAATAAAGGTTTCTAAGATTTGAAATAATATGCCACTTGGATTGAAATAAAATATTACATACTAGTAGAAAACTTGATTTCTAACAACCATGTGAAGTTTGAGAGCAATTAGGAGATGAAATCAAGAGATATTGGCATTGAAAGATTAACATTAAGGTTAGAAAAGGAGGCCGACCAATATCTAAGTGAATTATGAGGTTTATCTTCTATTTAGTATGTTGATCTTCTTCAAATTATCTATATATATTTTTTAACTAAGTGATTGAAAGACATAAAAAATTTGAATTAAAATCAAAGTTAAAATTATAAGTCATTGAGGTTTTAATGTATTATAGGATTTGATTAGGATTTGAATGGAATTTCATTAAAGTTTGAATAGAATTTGATTTGAGTTTGATTTGGATTTGATTAAGATTAGAATTTAAGATTTAGAATTTGCTTAAGTTTTAGGATTTAAAATTTAAATAGAATTTAAAATTTGACTTAAGTTTAAAGTTTTGGAATTTAATTTAGATTTGGTTAAAATTAGGATTTTGGATTTAGAACTTGATGAAGGTTTTATTAGGTTTTTAATAGGATTTAATTAGAATTTGATTAGAATTTTGTTAAATTTTGTTAAAGAATTTTGAGGATTATTTTGAAAATTAATTAAAATGTGATAAGACTTATCTAATTTCAATAGGATGTAGTTAAGATAATTATAAGCTTACTTCAATTGTTCAAGGAATTCAAAGGGAGTTGAGGATCTAAAGATACCACATTGTTTGAGCTTAGTAGTACTGCTGCAATTCAAAGTGAGAATTCAAGTATTAGATGCTTCATTTCAATGCATGTCTAGATTGCATTCAAATACGGTGAGCGTTGCTGCCATTGCTAACAACATTGTCGCAAATAGTTCACAAGACATTAATAAAACATCTTTAGTAAAACCTCCAAAGACAAGTGCCTACCAATTAATTTTCTAGTAATGTTTATAATGATATGTTGTACCTTGAAAATCTATTT